AGGAATGCGCCTCCCGACCCTAGGTGCTTCCCCCCTGAGGGGAGGCATCGCGAGGGTCTGCGGCGGGCTGCTCTGAGCGCTGAGCTCCAGACGTGCGAGTCCACGTATGGATCCAGGGAATGCGAATTCAGCCAGAGAGGCTGCCGCGGGCATAGACCTCGAGCCCGACTTCGAACCCCAGAGCCGTCCCCGCTGCTGCACCTGGCCCCTTCCCCGACCAGAGCTCGCCGCCCAGCCGCCCCAGCCTTCCGAGGTGGAGCCGGCTCTGGGTCAGAAGGTCCCCACGGAGGCGCGCTCAGTACCAATCCTGTTGCCCTCCCGGCTCCCCGAGCCGGCCGGGGGCCCCCAGCCCGGGATCCTGGGGGCCGTAACAGGTCCTCGGAAGGGAGGCTCCCGCCGGAATGCCTGGGGTAATCAGTCGTACGCGGAGCTCATCAGCCAGGCCATCGAAAGCGCCCCCGAGAAGCGACTGACACTAGCCCAGATCTACGAGTGGATGGTCCGCACCGTGCCGTACTTCAAGGACAAGGGTGACAGCAACAGCTCAGCAGGATGGAAGGTAACCCTGACCCCTTTCCCGCCGCCCCGCTGCCGTCTGCCATGCCGGGGGCCCCTCTCACCGCCACCCCGTCCCCAGCGACGATCCCCCTTCGGTAGGCGCTCAGACACACGCTGACTCAGGACATCGTACATGCCACACTCGGCGCCCGATGCTAGGGGATCCCGGATGAATAAGACACTGTCCTTGCCCTGCAGAAAATTGAATTCTCTGCTCGCTGCTCCACACTCCAGGCACAAGTGTTGGCTCGGGCCGCCCCAAACACTTATTCCCACAGAGAAGTCTTTATCCTCTGGGCCGCGGGGACTGGGGATCCTCCACATGAGCGTAGCCTTCCCTCCGCCCCCACCTCCCACCCGACACCTTCTCTCCGTTCCTGTGGGATCGCTCGGATTCCCTGCTTGCTTCCCGATACCTCGGGGTAGAGGTTCTGTCCTACAGCTTCTGTAGCCAAGAGGAGGGAGTGGCGTTGGCAGAAGGTAAGAAGCGACGCTCGTGGGCTGAGGTAGCTCGTCTTAGCCTCCGAGGACGAAGGGGCCGTGAGCTGCTACCTGCCTCGTTTTACCCTATACTGTCCAGACGCTCTCCCAACTCGGGGGGCGAAGTTGTCATATACCGTTAAGGAATATTAATCGCGCAAAAAGTTGGGGTTCCTTTGGGCTTCCGTGAAGATTCTGTGAGAAGAGGTCTCGCGAGATACTCTGAAACCTTGGCTTCAGAAATATGGGGCGCTAATTACAAATCCGGGAGCTTCGGCCCCTGTCGATGTCGTCTCGTGCGCCCGCCCGTAGGTGGTGGAGTCGGCATACAAAGAAGTACAGAGGGTCGAAGGGGCAGAGTCTCCCCAGGTACGAGAGACCCGCAGCAGCCTCACGGGTTGGGTAGACAGAAAACAGGACAGCTGACTGAGACCCTTGGCACTATTTCTGGGTAGACGGCCACGCCACAGTCTCAGCTCGTGAAGATGTCCCCTCCTTGGACCCAGCCTACACAGCTGTTTTGCTTTTCCCTTAGGTTAGTTTTCCAGAGTAGAAGAAATAAGCACGAGTTGTTAGTTATGCTGTGGAAGTATAATCCCTCCTTCTTATTTACGCTTTTACGGGGCTTTTTAGTTTACAAAGTGGGTTATTATTATTATTTTTTTTTATTTTATTAGTCTTCACGGCAATTCCCAGTCCACATTTCGTATTTTAGGAAACTAAGGGATAGAAAGCGTAGGAAACTCACCTTACCTCAGGAGGATGAGGACTTGAACTCAGGCCTGACTACACATCATACTCTTGCTGCTAGTCCGAGCTGCCAACTTCCCTTCGCTGGAATGATGGCGAGGCCAATCAGACATCGCGATGCCCAGGCCTCCAAGGCCCTCACCCCCCACGCCTCACCCCCATCCCACTCCAAGGGGGCAACCTCTGCCTGAACTGGCTTAACCAGGGATGTGCCAAGTACTGCCACCCCACCAGGGGGCGGCACCCACTTACGACAAGAAAGCTTAGTTTAGGTGGCTTGGGGAGCAATTAGCCGTCACCCCCCTTCCAACAGGTAAGAACCACAGGCTCCTAGGGAGCCGACCTCTCCAAGTAGGTGGCTGTACCATGTCCCAGTTCCTAGGCCTAAAGGAGAAGGGACAAAGCATTGGGCTTCATGGGAAAGGAATGGGCCTTCTCAATACACCAAGGGTTTGAGGATCGAAAGGGCAGAAATCACAGTGCCAGAAGTCACTGTGGTCCTCAGTCACTAAGGTCCCTGGATGGCTGGACAAGTGTGGTTCCTTGAAGCAACTAAGCGTTAACGTGGCCAGAGAAGTCGAAGCGCCATTACCGCAGGGTCCCGGACAGACGTGGGTTCTTCAGCATCTTTTTCCGGGCAAAGGGTCTCTTTATCTCAGTGGCAGTCACGAACATGTGAGGTGACGTCTGACTGCCCATAGCCTCCCTAAGAGGTCTGAGGTCCGTGTGTGAGGTCACATGCCCCCAAGGTTGGAGATCTTATACGCAGATTCCTAGGAGACGTGGAAGAATCTGCCAATCTCTACTCCCGGGGCCCCTGGGGGAAAAAAAGTTATCTCTAGCAGAATATGAGCAGCAGGGAGCAAGGAAGGACCATAACCTCTATTACCCAAGACACTCGAGAACGGACAGCCCCCAGGGGAGACTCGCCATCACCCAGGAGACACCCAGCAGTCTGGCAGGGAGGAGCTCGAGTAGGTACTGGGCATTGTGCACTCCGAGGGGTGCTGCTGGGGGTGCCCGACTAGAGACAGGGGAGCTTCTCCTCAGGACAAGGGCAAACGGTGAGAGGAATCTGCCTGGGCTGTTTGAGGTCCCCCCGGGGAGAAGCCTGGCCACCATGTCCTTGAGGGTGTGTGTCTTCGGTTTGGGAGAAATCGGGGAAAAAATGGAGCCTTCGAATCCTCTGCAGAGCTGGGGCCCACGTGCTCCGTGGGGAGCGGAGCGCCAGCTGTGCCGAGCCAGGCTCCAGCCCCTCCGCCTGTTGGGACAGGGTGGGGCCGTCCCGGGCTGGGGACGCGCCACTGTCCTGTGGGCTCCACCCGAGCGTGCACTCAGGGAAGGGGGTGGAACCGTGGAAGCCTCTTCCCCGGCTGAGCCTCGTTCCTCCCAAACCAGGAGCATGCCTCCCTGACGCCCTCAGCCCCAGACAGTCCCCCCAGAGACGCGGGAGGGGTTCGGGGACTCGAGCTTGTCCGGGGGGGGTGCCCTGCCCTCCCCCCTACATCGGTGCTGAGGTTGCGGCCCGAGGCTCGCGTGGAGAAGCCTGGAGCAGAGGCCCGGCTTCCGTGTGGGCCCTGCCTTGGCTTGTGTCCCCCCTGCATCCGACTCGCTTCAGTCCCCTCCTTTCAGACTGCGCTGCGGCCACCGAACCCCCCATCCCCCCCACATCTACACCTCACACCCCTCTCTCGCTGCCTCTGTCCTCTGCAGAACTCGATCCGCCACAACCTGTCTCTGCACAGCAAGTTCGTCAAGGTCCACAACGAGGCGACCGGCAAGAGCTCCTGGTGGATGCTGAACCCCCAGGGAGGCAAGAGCGGCAAGGCGCCCCGCCGCCGGGCCGCTTCCATGGATAGCAACAGCAAGCTGCTCCGGGGCCGCAGCAGGATGCCCAAGAAGAAGCTGGCCATGCTGCCCGTGCCACCCGAAGGTGCCTTGCCGATGAGCCCCGTCGGCCACTTCTTCAAGTGGTCGGGCAGCCCTGGTTCTCGAAACCGCGACGAAGCCGACATGTGGACCACCTTCCGTCCACGCAGCAGCTCCAACACCAGCAGCATCGGCGCCCGGCCCTCCCCCGGGGGGCCGGAGCCCGAGATGCTGGCGGTGGAGGAAATGCCCTGCGCAGGCAGCAGCTATGTGGGCTGTGTCCCTGCCCCCCGAAACGAAGGTCTGGAGCTGCTCGATGGCCTCCACCTGGCCTCCGCCCGGGCCCTGCTCCCTCCGAGTAGTCTCACGGGCTTCTGCTTGCAGCATCCCGGGCTTCCGGGCCCCTTACAGGGCTACGGCGCCTCCCTCTTTGGCCCGGCAGAGGGGCCCCTGGCGGCAGGTGAAGGGTGCTTCCCTAGCTCCCAGTCTCTGGAGGCCCTGCTGGCCTCTGATCCACCACCACCCCCTGCCGATGTCCTCATGAGCCAGGTAGACCCCATTCTGTCCCAGGCGCCCACGCTTCTCTTGCTGGGGGGCATGCCTTCCTCCAGTAAGCTAGCCACAGGAGTCGGCCTGTACCCCAAGCCTCCCGAGGTTCCGGGGCCCAGCGGTCTGGTTCCCCCCGTTCCTGTGCTAGCACCACCTCCGGTCATGGTGGATGTTCCCATCCCCAAGGCTCTGGGGGACCCCGTGGTCACACCCCCTGCCGATACTACAAGCCAAGACAAAATGCCTCAGGATCTGGATCTCGACATGTATTTGGAGAACCTGGAGTGTGACATGGATAACATCATCAGCGACCTCATGAATGGGGGTGAGGGACTGGACTTCAACTTCGAGCCAGGTATGTGGCATCTCACGACCTGTGGCCACCCCCGGGCGCCCAGGTAGTTCCCACAGTCCGAGCAACGGGGACACTTAGCCACGTGGGTGGGTGGAGCTCCGGGGGAGCTGGAGGAGGATGCCATTTTGGAGTGGCGGGGTTTCCAGACCGGCCCTCCAGGCCCCTCGGCAGTGCCCGCTCTCTCCAGGTAGCGCGGGACAGGTGGGGGAAGGGCTGTCCGTTTTCCCGGGTGTGGACCACGAGGGTAGAAAGCAGTCAGGTCCCGGATGAGCCTCTTACTTTGCCCTCCGTCTGTTTCTTCCACAGATCCCTGAGCCGTGGCTGGAAGCTTTATCCCTGGCTTCAGAGATGGAGCCAGGCATACCCATACTCTCTCTTTACCCTTGATTATCCCTGGGAATTTGGGACGCTGATTTAGAGCTAGGGTGAGGTTTATGCACACGGGTGTTGAAATTATAAAGCTAAAGCCGCCCCATGTGGGAACTATAGGGGGAGGGTGAGGGGCTGGGAAAGGGAGGGGGTTTATTCTCACTGTGCCAATTAGGGGGTAAGGCCCCCTCTTGGGAGCCATCCTCAGCTCCCCCCATTCCCACCCCCGAGTTTTGTAGCAGGGGCGGGCAATGCTGTTGGAAATGTAAAGTCACCAGTGGCCTTACCCCTGCCTTTGGGAGCAGGGTTTTTTGTAGCATCTTATCTGAGCTGGT